CAAATGTAGAGGAATAAGAAGAGGCAGAACGCACTGGCATCTTCGTCGTCAGCGTAGCGCATGCGACACATAGTCGTGTTGAAAACCTTCACGATGAGCATTGTGGCGTCATCATCGTACCTGAAGAGAAGAAAGTACCCGGTCCGCAGGTCGTAGGCATTGTAGAACTTCTCCCAGCCACGGCACAGGTACATGTGGCCCTCCTCGATCACCAACTCCACGTCTCACAGCCTGCGAACCCCGCTGCCGGCCTGTCGGAGCTTCACATTATCTAGCGGATCTTCACTCAGCATCTTCATAAAAGTGTCAGGCAGCCTCTGCAATTTGGGACAAGGAGTGATGTAGCAAACAACAGAGTTATCATAATGAGATGGGTGAAGGGGAGATCTCTCGTTTTATATACCTGCCTCGTGGCTGATACAGAAGAAGAAAGTATGATATTGAAGAACTCGAAAGCATCCAACTCGTACTCCGATGAGGCAGAGCGGCGGTGGCTGCTTCCCCCCATGCTTATCCAATCTTGCATGCATTTAAAGTTATTCAATCAGATGCCATATTATTTATTAACATGCTGCCAAGAAGCTTGAACATGCCATTAGTAATGTCTAGCAGCATGGTAGAAAGAAAAGAAGTTAACATCTGAATGTTTCCCATGCTTATTTAATCAAACATTAGTAATGTCTAGCAGCATGGTAGAACGAATTCAGCCCTTATAGGCAGAAAAACAGCAGCAACAACAAAAATAGAACAACCAGTAGTGCAAGATCAGATCATTTGCACTGTCCAAATGACCAAGACCAATTGGATTTTACCCAGTTAAAGCCACCACAAATGCACAGGTGTACCTATGCATTTGAGCAACTAAAACTAGTTAGAAAATCCAATAGCTAAGCCAATTAGAGTGCCACAAATACAGAGAGCAGCCAAGTTAAATTAACAGCCCAGAACCCTAGCATAAGTTAAATTACACACACACTTAGATAGCCAACAGCACCCAAGTTAAATTACACACACACTTAGATAGCCAACAGCACCCACAGGAGCATGTATGCAGCAAGTCCAGTGAGCAAGATGACCACCACAGAGAGCCATCACAAATGACCTAGAGCACAGCAACTGGCAACCCTAGATCAAGATATAGCTATCACAAAGAGCACCAAAATTAATTGATGCTCATCTGGAACATACAGCCAGAACTAGCAGGACTACCAAAGCATCTAAAACATGAACTAGGGTTAGATCATAGAGAGAACAGAGAGAGGAAAGGAGGAGCTCACCAAGAGGGGTTGTAGCCGTAGCAGAAACTCAGCCACACCAGTGCCACGGTGTGACTACCAACACAGCCAGAGCTCTGCTGCAGAGGAGGCTCGTACTGGACAACATTATCCACCATTAGCATATATTGCAGACATATACTGGACAACATTAATTTGAGTAAATATTGGATCAACAAGCAGTCATGAATCAAAAAGCAACCACGATCCAAACTCTCTCTCTCTCTCTCGGCTGGACAAATCCATGAGTAAAAAAAGTTCCACCTGTAGCATATACACGGGGATCTGAGAGAGGCTCGTACCTTGAGGAGAGAAGAGTGTGTTGCGTCTCTGCCGCCGCCGTTAGCCCACCGGAATCCCACCTAGCCCTCCGCCCCGCTGCAAGAACGCCGACACGCAGCTCCAGATCAAGAGAGGAGGTTCCTCTGCCCCGTCCGTGACTCCCCTATGGTGCTGCAGATCGAGAGAGAGAGGAGAGAAGAGTAAGCCGGCGGCGAGAATCGGAAGGAACCGGGGCGGCGGAGCAGATCGAGGGAGGAAGAGACGATGGGAGGCGGCGAACCAGGGGAGGCGGCCCTTGGAGACCACGCGGATCGGGGAAGCGCCGCTGGCGGATCGGGCCTGACCTGCTCGATCTGCGGCTCCTCGACCTAGGGTGGGGAGAGAAGCTCGGTGGGGGAGAGGGCGAGGTCGCCGG